TTAAGGAAGACAACTTTGTTTTCCTTGGATACCTCAGGAGTGTGGGAGTTGATGCCTAAACAAGCACTTCCTCCTTGGTTGTCAGCAAATTGTGTCTCGAGGTTATTTTCTGTCACATTTGCCCTTGTTTGGGGTGCACAAACATCTCTGTCCCCCTGCAGGAACCTGACAAAATCTGAGGAGGCTCTTCAGCGCACGGAGAAGGAAATGGAAGAGAATGAGAAGGACATCAAAAACTTGACAGCAGAGCTGACCACGCTGGAGGAGAAAGCCACAGAGGTGATGAACGACTGCAAGCAGGCTGAGGTAGGTGGCACCTCCAGGTAAACCAGGGTGATGCCTGACATCCTCACTGTATCCCACTTACAGCCCAATCCCATGCAAATGTTGGTGTACAGCTGCAGACTGACATTCCAAGGAATGGCAATGGTGTATTTTTATTTTTTTATACTCACCTGGAAATTTATCTTGACCCAGTTTGCTGAAAACAACTTACACCAGGTTTCCCCAAGGAAATTATTGGATTTAAAACTTGCTTAAAAATAGATTTTTTTTCCAGTTATGTGGGATTTTAGTTTCCCGTCTGGATTTCTGGATGTGAGGGAGGGAAAACAACCAGCATGGCTGAACTTCTTCCAAATACAGCTGGGTTTTGAGCCTGTCTTTCTCTAAAACTGCCTTTTAGCTAAAAGTGTGTGAGTGTAGGACTCAAGATCATAGTTTGATCCAGATCAGGAATGAAAACAATCTGCAGCCTATTTTCAGTCACTCCACAATTCAGGGAGCAGCTCATAAATCCAAGGCTGTGTGTTTGTTTTGCATCAATCCCTGTAAATAAACAGTGAAAACAAACCCACAACCCAAGAGAGGGGTGACATTTTTGCAGGTGACTGATGAATGCTCTGTTTTGGTGATTTCTGTCCAGGAAGCTTTGCCAGCAATGCAGGAGGAGAAGAAGAATTTGCTCCAGGAGATTGAAAGGATTCGGGATGAGGAACACGAACTTCAGAGTGAAGCTCTGAGCATCAAACTGAAAATTGAACAAGTTGACAGTCACATCTCTGCCCACCAGGGAAAGGTTAAATACTGGCAAAAAGAGGTAGGGAAATGGTTGAGGTCCTAAACCTTCAGTCATGGAATTGTGGGATGGTTTGGGTTGGGAAGGGACCTTAAAGCTCATCTCATTCCACCCCTGCCATGGACAGGGACACCTTCCACTGTCCCAGGTCCCAGCCCTGTCCAGCCTGGCCTTGGACACTTCCAGGGATTCAGGGGCAGCCACAGCTTCATCTCACAGGATGAGCACATTAACATCTCATTAAAACCAGATAATCTGGGAGAAAATTCCTCTTCAGCTCACAGTTTAGTGGTGTTTATGCAGGAACAGGATAACAGGGTAAAAGGATATTTATTGTGTTTTTCACATCCTATTTAAAGGGAGTTGTGGAGAACCTTTGAGTGTTTGGAGAAGCTTCACTATGTACCAACACAAAAAATACTTATTTTAGAGTGATAACTGTTAGGATTTGAAAAGATCCCTGGTAATGGCTGTTGCATTTCAGATCTCCAAGCTGTCCCTGCACCCCATCGAGGACAAGCCCCCCGAGGAGCTGCCCGTGCTGGGTGAGCAGGAGCTGGAGGCGCTGCAGGATCCCGACGGGATCACCAAGAGGATCGCGCTGCTGGAGGCCCAGAGGCACGAGATGAAACCCAACCTGGGGGCCATTGCTGAGTACAGGAAGAAGGTAAAGCCTCACCAGGGCCATCCCATCTCTGGGAATTCCAGCAAAAAGGAGTCCTGCTCCTTTTCCTTTGGGGAACTGCGGTGGAACCCTGGGATTTTCCCATTCCTGTTACCAGCCTGAGTGTTTGTCAGCTCATCCTCAACCAAGTTGTTTTAGGAGCTTCCCTAAGCCTTTTGTATTCCAGACCATCAGCTGAAGGCAACTTCCTTCATGATCTTGGAGGTCCTTTCCAACCTAAATCATTCCCTGAGTCTCCTGTCAATGTTGTATTTAGAGCCAAGTCTTCACAGCTGAGACAGAAAAAAATACTGGAAATTTTTTCTCCTCACTTCAATAATAGTGGACTATCCATCAGGTTAAATACTTTTTATTTTAACATGATTTTTCCCTCAGCAGCAAAGGAGAAAAGAGAGATAATTTTGGTTTTTTTGTTAGCCTGAAATTCTTGAAAAAGGCAAAATGTAAATCGAGGAGGCACTTCTTTAACTGCATTTCTGTGGTGCTGTTTGTGTTTCCCTGCAGGAGGACCTGTACCTGAAACACGTGGGAGAGCTGGACAACATCACCAACGAGAGGGACAACTTCAGACAGGCCTTTGAAGAGCTCAGGAAGCAGAGGCTGAACGAGTTCATGGCAGGATTCAATGTCATCACAAACAAGCTCAAGGAGAACTACCAGATGCTCACCCTGGGGGGGGATGCTGAGCTGGAGCTTGTGGACAGTCTGGATCCCTTCTCCGAGGGAATCATGTTCAGGTTGGTCAAAGTACTTCTTAATTGTCATATTCCTTTTCTCAACCTGTTTTTAAGTTGAATTTCACTGATCATCACTGAACCAAGACAGGCTCGCCATTGGCAAGGTACTGGCAGAATTCACAACTTTTTAGGTCTGGGATTCATTTCTCCTGGAGAAATCAGGAACTAACAGCAGCTGGAAAGCTTTGACCTCATTTCCCAGTGCTGAATTCCCAAATCTGCCCAGGGGATGGGGGCAGTCACGTGTTGTGCCACAAACCTCAGAGCGTGTTCATGATTTAGGAGTTAAAGAGCACTTGGGAAGGGAATTCCCAGGAGCTGGGAGGTGTCCCAGCTCCCAGGACATCCCCGTTCCAGCAGGTTGGGCTCAGCCACACCCCAGCTGGGCGGGTAAGTCAGGAAACCCCTCCCTGTTTGCAGCGTTCGGCCTCCCAAGAAGAGCTGGAAGAAGATCTTTAACCTGTCGGGGGGTGAGAAGACGCTGAGCTCGCTGGCGCTGGTGTTTGCCCTGCACCACTACAAACCCACCCCCCTGTACTTCATGGACGAGATCGACGCCGCCCTCGACTTCAAAAACGTCTCCATCGTGGCCTTTTACATCTACGTGAGTACCCAGGGGCACCTCTGCCTGTTCCCTTCCCACCAGGACACACAGGCTGGCAGCACAACTACAACACAGTTTGGGTCTGCAAGGACAGTTCTCAGGGGAAGCTCAGGAGGAAGCAGATTTCCAGAAAGGGCTTGGAATTTTGCTTTCTGCATGTTTTTTTAAGCTCCTAAGTTTGATGCTTTCCCAAAGTGAGGGGACTAATAGAGGATTTACGAGTGTTTTCCCTACAAATCCTCTTTCATAAGTTGTCTAAAGAGAGCTGGAATTTGCCAAAGGTGCCACATCTCCATGTGCTGTTTCCTCTTTAAAATCCCCCAAACCCTCAGCTCCTGTCAGCTGAGAATACACAACTAATTGAGCTCTCAGTGATGTCTCCATGTATCCAAGCTCATGATCTCTCAGGAGCAGGCAAGGTTGGATTTATACTTCCATTTCATTCCCATGAGCTGTGTCCCATCAGTGTCTCTGATCTGTCTTGATTAGTAGGTTTTTTCCTGCCTTTAAAAGTCCTGCCCTCACCATATTTAAGCAAAGCAAACCCTTCCAGCTACGGTTGTGGCTGCCAGTTAAACCTAGGATGTTCAGAATTATCCCAAATGTCACCACCAGTTTTTGGAACAGGCGGCAAGGATTAGGATCAGCTACTTTAAATTAGGGAAACACCTGGAAATTCCCTGCCTGCAGCTGTAGGTTTAAACTTGGCTTCCACAGTGTGTCCACAAAGGAGGGTCCATCACCCACAGGTGAGCCAAGGGTTTAATTCCAGCTGCAGTTTAGACTGACACAGACAGTTAAAACCTAGTACTGAGTTTAGCTTTTAAATGTAAATTTAACTTAATGTAGAGCTGTAGGTTGTGTTTTGTGCACAACTTTGAACTTCCATGAGCAGCCTAGTCTGTGCAAGATGTCCCTGCCCACAGCAAGGGTGGAACTGGATGGGCTTTAAGGTCCCTTCCAACCCCAACCATTCCATGTTTCTGTCCTGGAGAAAAGGGGCTCAGAGCCCTGAACTTACCCTGAGACTGGTGGGCTCTTAAGCACAAAATCAGTTTTATTTCTAAAGCACCACCAAGTTCAGACACTGTTACCTGTTGTGCCTCAGGGTCACACAGCCAGTGTGATGACTCCTCAGTCCTGTCCCCTGGGCACGGGGCTCCCACCAGGACAGAGCTTTAGGAATGCTGGGCACTAACAAGCCCTTTGTGTTTCAGGAGCAAACCAAGAACGCCCAGTTCATCATCATCTCCCTGCGCAACAACATGTTCGAGATCGCCGACAGGCTCATCGGCATCTACAAGACCCAGAACACCACGAAAAGTGTGGGCACCAACCCCAAAAGCATCGCTCTGAAGGGACTGCAGGAACTGGCTGCCCTGGAAGGGAGAGCCCAGAGCCAGGGGGGACCCCAGAGCCAGGGGGAACCCCAGAGCCAGGAGGGCCCAAGTGCCCTCCCTGCTGCTGCTTTTTAGGTCTGTCTAAGCTACTTTTATTTTGTTTTGTACATTTTGTTAATAAAACCCCACCTTGATAAACTGTCATGCAAAAACTGAGGAAGGGGGGAGCTCGTTGAGGGGGGAAAGCTAAGATTTCAGTCCATGTCAGGGAAACAGGAGGACCCTGGAACTACTTCCCTGTGAGCCTCCCATGTCCTGGGAAGAGCAGGGAGCAGATCCTGCTGGAAGCTGGCCAAGGCCCAGGGAGGGAGTGGGAACAGCCACCTCCAGAGCTGCCTCCAGCTCTGGGATCCCCAGCTCAGGAAGGATGTGGAGCTGCAGGAGATGCTCTGAGGGCTGGAGCCCCTCTGGAGACAACTCCCTGCTCCTTCCCTCTCCGTGAGGGATCAGGGGAGGGTCTGCAGTGGGGGAAGGAAGGTGATGTGATGGCCAGTCCTGCTGTAAGAACAGGCTTTATTTGTAGGCAAACCTTGGAAAATAACAGTGCATTGGGAGTGTTACAGGTGTCAGTCAGCGGTAAAGGCACTTTAAATTCCTGTCATGAAAAATAAAATTGTATTAGAAATTCTTTTAAAAAGGAAAATAAAAGATAGGAAGGGGGGTAGGAAATGCAGGCTCATGGGGCAGTGAACAGACCATCAGGATTGGAGACTGATGTGTCAAGTGCAGCCTCCCAGCAGGGCTCAGGACAAAAACAAATTGCCAGTTTTACTGGGGAAGGGGTATGAGAGCACTCACTTACACAGTCCCAGCACACACCTGGAACACCTTTCCAAAACTGAGCAGTGGGATGGGGGGGATTTGCCACTGGAACTCTGAAAGATGACAAAAACTCAGGAACAAATTCCAGGCACAGCTCCCATCCCAGTGTCCTCCTGCTCCTCCCCCTGGGACACTCCACACCCCCCAAGCTGCACCGGGGCTGGACTCGGGCTTTGTCAACACTGGGACAGCAGGATTGGGATCAACTTCAGGCTTAAGGAATGTAACAGTATCACCTCTGAGACTGACCTTGCATGAACTGGCAGCAGGTGGGATTTGGCAGGACCCCACAGCACCTGCTGATAACAGGCAAGTTTGGGGTTCAAAACCCCAAGTTCAAGGAGTTAAAGGGCAGGTTCAGAATTCAGTCCCTGCTTACCCACTGCTTACAAACCACATCAGCCAAGGAATGCTGCTGGGCTGGGAGAGAGAATTATTTTTATGAGGTCAAATACCCATTTCTGTGTTTTTCTCAACTCAATCCCCAGTGAATTGTTGCTCACTGCCTTGTGCTGGTGGAACTACAGCACTTGGAGCCTCTCCCAGGGCTTGATCCAGCCTGGTAAAGGCTAAAACTGGCTCCATTTAGGCTGGAGCAGCTCAAAAGCAGCAAATGGTGCCAGTGAGCACCTGAGGGCAGAATAAACCCCTGTCCAGGGACAGGTCTCTGTGCTGACAATCAAAAGGTTAAATATAAATTCGCATTCCTTGTCAGGTAAAGAGCTCCTGATGTCTGAAGTCCTCCTACCCCGGACTTCAGCAGGAGTTTTGCCACTTCCTGCAGTGTGTTTGTGTTTTCACTACACCCTAAATGATTTAGGAAAAGTCAGGGAGCAGTGGGAGGTCTCTCCCTGCCAGCCCAGACCCCCCAACGTGGGCACAGCTGGGTCTAAAACCTGTGTGTGCATCCAAGGTCCTGCTCAGCAGGAGAGGATGGGAGAGGAGGAACATGGGAAACACACAAAGTTATTCCACACAGGATAAAAAAAATGACAAAAAGGGTGAAATCGTGTCCTTCGCTCTACCCAGAACCAAAAAACTGAGCACCAGGGCCACGAGCACAGACCTCAAAGAGCACAAATGTCTCTGTTCCAACACGGTCACAGGCCAGGAAGCACAGAAAGGGAGTTTCTTGCACATGGGAGGCAGTGCCGGCCCTTTGCAGCTGAGGGGTCCTGATAACCTGTCATGTTTGTATTAAAAAACAATTTCAGAAGACATTCATTACTAAGAATAAAGAGAGTCCATGTTGAAGGAGTTTTCAGAGCTGAGACTCAGATTCCCACGTGTGAGCTGGTTCCAGCTGCTGGTCCTGCCTGGATCCCGGCTGGAACAAACACCTCAGTGGGACAGAGAGCCCTTTTTGGTGCAAATGTTTACTTCACTAAGACTTAGCTCAGAGGAAATCCAGGCACTAGAGAAAAGGAAGGATTTGGGAATAGAAGGGAAAAGTGTAGAGCTTTAATAATCCAGCTTTTCAGTGGAAATCAAAACTAATCCTGGATTCCTGCACTGGGTCGTCACCTACTCACGGAAGCAGTCAAAGGGGACAATTCTCCTGCAGAACCCCATCAGGGAGGTGAATGGGTGGCACAGCCCATCCACGGCCTTCTGCAGGTGGGAGCAGGAATGCTGATAGAGCTGGAGCAGGAATTCCGAGATCCATGCGGGAGCAGCCTGGATGGCCCCGGGGAGCAGTGCCCTGTGCAGGGCGAGCACGGTGCCCGCCAGGCCCAGCAGCAGCAGCAGCAGCACGGTGGGCAGGCTCACGGGGGGCAGGCTCAGGGCACACACCCACTTGCTGCCTTCCACAGTTTCCTTCCCAGGGCATTTGCTGCACTGTTTCCTCCTGGGAATCAGCATCAGTTTTGGAGGGGGGATCTTGTGGATCTGACCCATTTCGGTTTTAGCCCACACATCCTTCAGCAGGTCCTCCATCCTTGGACAAATCTCCAGAGGTTTCACATCCGGCAGTTCCTTCTCCCTCAGGGCCTTGACCCGCTGCTGCAGCTCCTCCAGCTTCTCCAGGCACAGCAGGGGGGACTTCTCTTTCCGAATAGAGGAATTCAGGTACTTGAGCTCAATCTCCTCCACCTTCAGTTTGCTCACACCCTCCAGCAGGGGCTCGTATTCCCGCAGGAAGCGCCTGTTGAGCTCATCCAGAGCCCCCAGCAGAGCTTGTTTCTTGTGCTCCAAGGTGTCCCCGAGCTTTTTGAAGTACTGCCCCACGACGTCCCTCTCGCTGCGCAGGAGCTTCTCCCACTGGGATTTCTGCGTCGTCAGCTTCATGTAGCACAGCAGCACCTCCCGCCAGTATTTCTCCGGCAGCTGCTCCTGCAGTTTTCCAGCGGCCTCCTTGGCCTTCCTGTGGGCGCTGTGCAGGTCCCCGATGGGGTGCCCGCGGTGCTGCCCTATGGTGAGGCACTGCCCGCACACCAGCTGCCTGTCCAGCAGGCAGTAAATGTTGAGGGGCTGCCGGGGGTGCTCCCGGCACGTCTCCACATCCCAGGGCTCTTCCTGCCGGCACTTCTCAATGACGGCCTTGAGGGCGAAGTTGATGGGCAGGGATTCCAGCCCGGCGGCGGGAATGTCCACCAGGGCCCGGCAGTTGGGGCACTTGAGGCGCCTCCGGATGGAAAAGGTGTCGGAGCGCTGGAGAACCCCCTGCAGGCATTCCCTGCAGAAGGTGTGGGAGCAGGGAAGCACCCGGGGATCCTGGTAAATGCCGCAGCAAACGGCACAGGTCAGCTCCTCCTCCAGCCGCTCCATGGCCTGCGCGGGGAAAGCAAACACAAACAAAGGGCTTCAGCTCTTCCACAATCACTGCAGTGACCGAACGGGGCATTTCCTGACCAGGAATTCCCACCTCGGCAGTTCATTGCCAAGGGGAAAAAAAAGGCAAAATAATAATGAAAGTGAACAGTTCAGTGAGTTCAGCAAATTCTGAGCTGCACTCAGGAGCCAAGCGAGCACCCACATCCCACCTCTGCCTTAAAAAGCCAGGGAAAGCAGGAATCTGCCACTAGATGTTTTTTACGATGGGAAACAGTAGGAAAGTGGTAAAAGCAAAACTAGAATTTCTAAATAACCTCAGAATTATGAACAATTTCTCCCACTGCTTCCAACATGAGAATAGAACAAGAAGTACAGACGCTTTTTTTTCTCCCCTCACTTCAAATGTTACTTTTGTAACATAAAATAGTCATTAGAGCATTAAACAGTCACATTTACTAGAAGCTCTCTGGAGGTTCTGGCACTAACAATCCAACTCAGCAGCCCTTACAGACACCACCACTACCAGGATTAGATTTTTGTGTGCTATTCCTGGGTTACTTTAAGCACCAAACTCAAAAACTTTCACTTTCCATCCTTAGTGATGTGTTGCCTCATTTTTTCTTTGCCAGCTTAGTGAAATCAGTGTTAAATCCCAAATAACAGTAACACTAAAGCCAGTTTTCCTGATAAATCATGATTTTTGTTTCCATTCTGCTAAAAATACGAGGGAATTGGTACCAAGTTTCCTCCTCTTCGTGCCACGTTTTCCTGCCCCTCCACCAGTTTTAGTCAGAGGCTTTGCTGCACTGCAGCAAGAAATTGTCTGAGTTTTCAGCATCAAAACCCATCAATTTGGGGTCTAAATCAAAATCTGCCAACAACAACCTGGAGCAGGGCTCACACTGAGGGAGGGTGGGAGCTGAACACCCAAAGCCCAGTTCTCTGAGGGTTAAATGAGCCCTGAGCACAGAAACCTGCTCTGGTGGCACAGAAATAAGCCTGGCTTATCTCACTGGCTGGGGTTGGGTCCAAAAGGGCAGTGCTGGGCTTAATTAGGGTGAAACAATGCCAAAAAATCAACTAAAAACTTTAATTTATTGGTTTATTTTTAATCTATCATCACCCAGATCAGCCAATTCAATCCGTATGTTGTTAAGTCAACTTTATATTCAAAACACAGGCTGATTAATTCAGCTCCAAGAAAAAAAATAATTAAAAAATCTATGCAGCACACTTTCAGGTAAATTATCACAAAATGGTGGTTCACTTCTTTGAATTCTTTTTAAAAGGAGACCTTGAGAGCAGCTGGGAGAAAATCTCCTAGAGGGAGACATAATTCCATATAATTCCTAAGAACTGCCCTTTAAAAGCAGAATGACAAAGAGTGTCAGCATTTATACCCAACTGCTGCATTCTCCTCAGTAAAGAGAATTTAGATCAGGTCCGACAAACATTTAACAAAAGACCTTCATGACAATGACACTAAAGCTATTTTTTACTAAATAAAGGCCATGAGGTTATTCCTCTTTTCACTGGGAAGCCACAGGCCTTTATTTCCCAGCTTTTCCAATCAGCCACTGTAGCAACACTGGGTTATTAATTCCATGCTTTTAAGTGATGCTTCAAACACTGGAACTAAAGAAATGTGACAATAACGAAGGGAGCTGAGCAACAAATCTATTCCACTGTCTAGATAATTATTTTTTATAATTAATTCCCATAGGAACTACATTTAAAGGTTTTATTTTATTTTTATATATATAAATAAACTTACTATGAATCTTAGGAGTGTCACTTCCACTGAAATCAAAGGAAAAATATGTTATATTTTTTCTCATGGTTAGAAAAAAAAGAATCCTTAGTTAGATATTCACTATTTTCTCTTATATATATGGAATTAATAATAATTTTTTAAAAATCTCCTTGTTTAAAATCACTAACTTGGGCACCTCCAGCTCTTTTATTACTCCTTTTTATTTTTTATTTATTATTCCTCAGTTTCCAAACAGGATTTGGAATGTCGGTGCTGATTTTTCTAAAGCACCCTGTGTCTCCTTAATTTGTTCTAGACAATTACCAGGAGTTGTAGCAGGGAAGTAAAAGGTTTGGAATTCCCAAAATTTCACCCAGCACTGGCAGCACAGAGGAAATACCCATATATTGATTTATTTCCACTGCTGTTCACCTGCAGACTATTGGAAACAGAGACTGGGAACAGCAGTTGGAAAATAGAGAGAAGGCCCAAAATGACAGAGCTAAGCAAAGAGAAAGAAAATAACTTTTCTAGGAAAAGAAAAGCAGCAGCAGGAAGCTGGGAAATGCTTTCCTGCACAGAGCAGATACTTTTCCTGGCATGTTCCAAACGACTGTGGCAGCAAATACATGTGCCACATGTATAGTAATAAATATATAGCTTTATTGTAAGAGTTCCCCCAGCATAAACAAATCACAAACTAGAAGGTATTTTAAAATTCAGAAGTGCAATTTGCGCCAGTTTTGGAAACCTCCCAGCAATGGGATGCCTGCTAAGGACTGGGATTTTATCCTCCTCTAATTAGGGGTGCTGTAGAGAGGTGAAAACATGTCATGAAGGCAGCAGAGCTGGAGGATGGGCTGTGTGCCAAAGCATCCAGGGAAGCAGATCACAGGAATGTGGTGCATTCCTTGATAACTGTGTTCCCAGAGATCTCCTGCTCCTCCAGATCCTTATGCCAGAGGTTGTTTAGAAAAAATAATATATATTTTTATATGCAAATATACAAACAGTGGAACACAGCATACATCAGTGTTTAGGTAGATAAATAACTGCTTTATAGGACAGTCCCCCACACCCCATTCTACTCCAGAGGACTTTAAAAGGTGAATTTGGCACTGGATAACAGCCCATTCCAAGGGGCACCCCCAGGAGTGGGAGCTGCTCCTCCTCCTGCCAGCAAAGGAAACCTCTGCTCTCTCCTGAAGGACTGCAACACTCAACTTCAAAATGTGCTGAACTTGAACCAAATCCACGCAGAAATGCCCATTCCCTATCCCACAGAGATCCATGAAATCCTCTTCATCACTATTATAGAAGCTCAAGTTTACGTTGTGCAAGAAACAGAGATCGAATGACATTACAGTGTTTTCCATTCATAAATCACCTTCCTGGTAAAGGAACAAAACATAAACCCACCAGGAATCACAAACAGCCCTAAACCTCCCTATTCCAGCCCATTCCAGCCGTGCTGCTGCTTTATCCCACAGCACAAGTCACAGCAATTCTCAGCCTGGGATGTTCTGCCCCGGCCCCTACTCCTACCACAGCTACTACACCACTGGCACAGTTTTACACTTTTTGGGGTTTTTTTTCCCGCTGTTTTGGGGTTTTTAATGACCTGAAGGAGTGTAGTTTCCCTGTCAAAGGGACCTGCCAGTTCCCTGCTGTCCGTCCCTGCACTGACTCCTCCTCTGACACAACTCGACACAAGTCACCACATTCGAAAACTCCAAATTCGCGCTGGAATCACAGTTACTGGTGAATCCCGGGGGAATCTCTGACTCCTGAGAGCGGGCCGGGCCGTTTCACAGATCTCTCTCGTATTATGTGTCGTTTATGTTACAAAAAGAATTCGGTCCCAGCCCTGGTTTGCATGGAACCCACAGCGATTTTCACCCAGCCGGAAACTTCCGTGCTCCACCTCAACCTCAGAAATTTTTCCAAGACCATAATTTCGATTAAGAAGTTTACAACGGGAACTCGTGCTGGCGATTTTAAAAACCAAACTTCAGGAAAGCGGGGAGAAAGCAGAAAAACCCGCGCCAGGACTTTGATGATCCCCTGTGGGTCCTTTCCAACTGTGGTTCTATATCCCCCTCCATCCTTTCTTTCCGTGCTCGATCCCCCCTCCATCCCTTGTAACTCTTGTCAAAGCTTCTGGTTTTTGAGCATTTATCCGTCATTCACCTCACAGCACCAGCGGAGGTGAAGGATGAACACACTTTACCTGCGTCCCCCGCAGGGTCCCTCCTGCCGCAGCCGCAGCTCCCAGACCGGCAACGATGGGACCGTCCCTGAAGGAGTAACCGGGAAACGATGGGATCAACACCTGGAGCTCGCCGAGGTCACACGGATAAGAAGGAGCTGAAACACGGCACGGGAGCGGGCGGGCCCGCGGGAGGGCAGCGCTCACACAGCGCTCACAGAGCCGGCCCGCTCCGAGCCCTCACGGAGAGAGGGAGCCCTGAGGGCGCGGGACCCCCCGGCACCCCCCCGGGCAGCGCCGCGGGGCGAGGGAGCCGCTCCCGCCGGGCTCTGCAACGGGACGGGACGGAGCCGCTCCCGCCGGGGCTCCACGAGGAGCAGGGGTCTCCCCACGGGGAGCGGGGGGGTCCACACGGGACGAGGGAGCCGCTCCCGCCGGGCTCCACAGCGGGATGGAGCCGCTCCCGCCGCCCCGCGCGCCGTAACGGCCGCGGAGTTTGAATGTAAACGGCGGGAGGAGCGGGCGGAGCTGAGGGCGGGACGGGGCGAGGGCGGGCACCGAGGCAGGGTGGGGAGGACGCGGCCACGAAAGGGGAGCCGCGGCCCCGCAGGGTCCCTCGGCCGCCGGAGCCGGCAGGAACCAGGGGGTTGTTGTTGTTGCTGTTGTTGTGTGAGGGACCGGGATGGACTGTCCGGGCAGGGGGAAGGAGGATGCTCACCGGGAATGGCGCCCTCGGTGCCAGCATCATAGCGATGGAGCGATACAAGGGCTGAGGGGTGATGGAACCTTACGGAGCACCCCGCGGCAAACCCTTGCCCCGGGCACTGCTGGCACCCAAGGGAGCTCCGTCCTGCTCTCCTCTGCAACCACAACCACCGACCCCATTCCCCTTCACCATCTGAGGACAAATTCACCCCGGAGCGCAAACCAGGAGACGTGAAACCTCCTGCTCTGGGGGTGCAGGACCCGACCTTCTGGAGCTGCTAACCACAGAAATAAAAATCAATGCGTATTTAAATTGAAGCACGTCTACCTGCTTTGGCTACTGAAGATTATTATAAAGTACTTTTGACAAGGGCCTGGAGCGACAGGACAAAGGGAATGGATTTAAACTGACCGACAGTAGGTTTATACTGGATATTGGGAAGAAATCCTTCCCTGGGAGGGTGGGGAGGTCCTGGCACAGTTTGCCCAGAGGAGCTGTGGCTGCCCCAGCCCTGGGAATGTCCAAGGGTTTATTTCCAATTCATTTGAACTAAACTGTAAAGTCATTCTCAGCTGCTGCATTCACAGTGAACTTGAAAGAGAAATGAAATTCATTTAATGTTGTCACGTAAATCATCATAAACCACCCAAAACTCACCTAAACGTGTTAAACTGGTATTTAGAGGACCTTATACAAATATCTGGGAAATATATGGAATTATGTTTTAGCTAATAAAAAAATCTCATCCTCTAACAAACTACCTGCCATAGTTTTACCACACATTTTTCCACTCTCATTGTTTCTGACTTTGGTTACAAAATATCTATTGGCTGTTAATTACAGTTTCTAATTACACATTCCCTGTAATCCTGGCTCTGTGTACAGTGGCTTTCAACACAAACCCTGTGGAGGGAGCTTGGTAAAATTGTTATTTTTGCTTCTAAAGTGGGCAGGGGAGGAAAAGGGATTAAAAATAAATCAAAGAGGCTCATACAAGACTGCAGGTGCAAGATATATATATTTTCTTTTTTTGCTTGGAATGAGATAAAATACAAGCAATCCACAGCTAGCAATAGCTACTATTTTCCTACTTTACTACACAAATAATCAGTGTATCTTTTAGTTTTTTAGAGTTTGGAGTAAACTGGGGAAATTCCCCCTTTGCTTTCAACACTGAACTATAATTACTGGTTCCTCTTTTCCATATATTCAAGACAACCATATTTTTCTGCTTTTCAGATGACAAGTCTGTAGCTGTCCATGGTATTGTACCACTCCCCTCTCACTCCCACCCCACGCTCAGCAAGGTCTAAATCTATTTAATAGTTCTCCAAAGATGCTTCTCCAGCTCCTCAACACCCTAATTTAAAAGTATATCCAAGGTATTTACGTACAGCAGTTTTAATGACAACTCTTTTTTAATGAAAGCTCTTCCTCAGCTTTGGAGCACATCAAACCAGCAGAACAAATACAGGACTCCCATTTAGAATGGATTTACAAGCAAAAATGGGAATTCCTTTAGGGAAATTAGGTTTCCAATCGTTTTTCTGTAAATAATCAACCAATATTACCTTCTTTTAATCTATTCTTTGTGCCATTTTTCACTCCAGCAGTAGCTAAAAATGTTAGAGTTTGTAACTTTACACGTTTCCTGCTACTAAGTTTCCTCTCACAAAGTCTATTTGATCCAGATGCAGGACTTCTCTAATTGCTCCCAGCCTCAGGACCAGCTTTCCTGCCAGGAATTTGGTGACACGCAGAGATGAGGAAACACTTATAGTTAAAAGTGGCGAAAATCTACAAGTATTAATATGAAGACATTCTTAAGTTATAAAGCTGCCTTAGCCAGTATTTCATTTTAATAGAATGACATCCTATCCATAAATTATTATTTTCAAACAGACTAACCTGTTCCACTACCAAAGCAGTTCACAGCTCAGTGGGAATGCCTGTGATCCACCAGAGGATGGGAAATAGGTCTGTCCAGGGCTCCACGATCCAGGAAATGGCTCTGAAATACTGAAAGGCTTCACACAACCAGAGAAAATTCCACTTCCAGCAGTGGGAGAGAAAGAAAAGAGGGTCAATCTCTCTCAATCTACTCCTTTCCATTCAGCATCATGTTCTTCTCAGATCCCAAAGTTCCAGGGCAGTTATTTGGTCCAGCAATGCTGCTCCTTGGGATAAGAATCCTACCTGGCATTATGGATTATTTATGGATTGTTGTCCTTTTAATATTTTTAAATCTTTTTCTAGATATTTGCTACCCTAAGTTCAGTTGAAACGAGAATTTTTTACTCCAAAACACAGGAAGAGTTGATAATTATCCAACCTCAATATGATCCATATTCCTAAAGGCAATCCAAGTTATTTATTGTTTATACCCAAGATTCCCAAGCAACTCCCTTTCTCCAATAAAGTATTTAATTCCATTACCTCAAACTGCAACTTTGGGGGAAAAAAAGGCACCGGACAAAGTGGTTTCAGTTTTGTTCCCAAAGAACTCCAGCAGTGCCACCCTGTGGAGGCTGGAATATTTCAGTTATCCATATTCTGGTGAGCCAACAAGTGACAGGATCTGCTGGGAAGCAGAGCAGGAGAATTTTTCACTTAAAAACCCACGAAAAAAGGCAAAAAGCCTGAAGAACACCGGCTTAAGGTAATTTACTGTAATTATATTACATCAGGGAAGTGCCAAAAAAAAGCCTTTTTGGGCAGTAAATATAGACCTTGCCAGTGTTCTGGTGGGTTTTTGTTTAAGAAAGCTGCTCAGAAAGTTCAGTAAAGTTGCCACAAACCTTCTGTTCTCCCCTTCCCCCAACAAGAAAAGATTCTAATAAAGTGATTTTCTACAGCACATCCTCCACAAAGGTGGTTTAGTGGGAAGATGGTAATTTACTGAGTGGAATTTTCCTTAAAAAGGATTTTATTTCCCTTCATTTAACATTAAAACATCCCTAATTTCTTGGTGAATACATAATTAAGTAAATCAGCTATTTTTTAAGATTTATACCAAAATAATGACGTGCCTCCACACCACACACAGACCTTTGGCAGGTAAAAACCTCACGCCAGAGACTCAGGAAGCCACTTTCTTCAAATAATCTCTGCACCTTTTGATGAAAAACGAATGTATTAGAGAAAGAAGCAGCCAAAGCACGAGAATTGCAAGTTTTAATGTTTATTTTCCCCAAGACAGCCTAGCCTGCACTCTACTTGGATAAATTCACAAGCTAGTTTCCGCTGCTTCTAGTTTTAAACTTTTAACCATGTTTCTGATGACAAGGAATGCTGCAAAAATACTCTAGTCCAACAAAGAGTTATGATCACAAAATAATCTTTATCCATTCTACAGTGTTTCAGAATTACCAGTTGATTTTTATAACACAAGGTAGATATAGATGCTAATGGTGGCTAATCTGGTATGTTTTATTTATTATAGCAAACTGTTGTTCATGCAACACTTGTGCTCAAAGGGGAAGGCACAGCATTTCCTACAATGAGCCACCTTATAAAGAGTTCAGTTTGTACAAATTTGTAACCTCACCTTGAATTTAGTGTGCAGGACCTCAAAACTGAGGCATTCCTCCAATTATAAAAACACTTGCATCCTTTTTGTGCAAGTTTTAAAAATACAAAGTTTTCTCTCTAAAGTGGCTCAAAATAGATTGTTCATGGCTGCCTACATCTAAGATAAAAAGAGTCTAAAACAATTGGATTAGGCATATTAAAGGTGTTCAAACCATGACTTGATTTGTACATCTATTCACACCTCTTTTCTCGGTCTTTATTCGGCAGTACATATGCACCAAATTTCAATTTTTAGACGTTTCCATATCATTTTCATAGAAAACAAAGTTTGAAAACAAGTAACATTGAAACACAGCACGGTATCCTACCACAACAGAAACATTTTGGTTACAGGACTCAACAAAATCTAAAAATGAACTATGCTGTAGATTACCACATGCAAAGGTCTTCATGTTATCTTTGAAAATGAAAAGGATGAGATTTTTTTATTACCACATTTTACTGCTTTCTACTATTATGGCAACTTGTGTACTGCAACACAGTCTAGTTCGAAGGGAAATGAATGATTTTTTTTTTTCCATGCAAAAATCTACAAATTAGTTTTGATGATATGGAAAAGCTTTTCATAACATCAAACATTCATCTGGTGCAAATGCACAGGGAAGCCTTCCTGAAATTCTGACTTTACAAACAACTAAAAAGAAGCCGTACAGGAAAGAAATGAAAAATAACTCGAAAGGAAAAAAAAAAAATAAAAGAGGGGGAGAAAAAAAAAAAAAGGAAACAAAACAAAACAAAACAAGAGAAACACAGGCTGCAGGAGTAAACCAGAGTCTGCTGCTAAACCGGTCTGGTGTCCAGTGTAAGGTGACACTCCAAGTCGGATGGGTTAGGTTGTTCCAGCCCCCTGAAGGCGACTCAAGCTCCATGCGCTCACAGACAGCATCACACCCACTCTCTCATCACACGGCAGGCCCGGCGCTGGCCCGGAGCCCCCGCTGGGATCCAGCCCGGAGCCCCCGCTGGGATCCAGCCCGGAGCCCCCGCTGGGATCCAGCCTGGCAGCGAGTCCAGACATTCACTCAACGGTGTCCATTCACACGGTGCTTCATAGCAAGGCCTGGGCTCATTCTCTTGGACTTATGTGGGCATCCTATTCTCTTATGCTTACGAGGCTTGATGATGATATACTGCATTTCCCCCAATTGCTCTAGGAAGTCGGTGTTCCGTCTCAGGCACTGAAGATCTGTGACCTGTAGCC